CGACCGTTTCGTGAACCTAGGAGAGGAGGTAATTCTGACTTTGCTATGACAATCTGGCTCTTCTGAATCAGCTACTGTTTTGTTATTAGTTTAAGTATTTGCTATTGACAGTTCAAATGCGGAGTTTTGCGCATCATGTGTGTGTGCGTGCGTGCGTGCGTGCGAGCCCGAGAGAGAGAGCGCGAAAGAGAGAGAGAGAGAGCGAGAGAGAGAGAGAGAGAGCGAGAGAGAGGGAAAAAACAGGCGTTTTTCCAGAGGTCTGGAACACAGGACTCATCTCTCCTGTCTTTAAAAGTGGAGACAAAACAGATCCTAATAACTACAGAGGGATCTGTGTAACCAGTAATTTGGGAAAAGTATTTTGCTCAATAATCAACTCTCGGATTTCATCTTTCTTAAAGCAGCACAATGTCATCAGCAAATCTCAAATTGGCTTCCTCCCTAAACACCGAACCACTGACCATATTCACACACTACACACGTTAATAAATGAACATGTACACCAAAAGAAAGATGGAAAAATATTTGCATGCTTCATAGATTTTAAGAAGGCATTTGACTCCATTTGGCATAATGGATTGTTTTATAAAATCATTCAAAGTGGCATAGGGGGTAGAATATATGACTTAATTAAAAACATGTATAACCAAAATAAATGTGCAGTAAAAATTGGACAGCAAAGGACAGACTATTTCTCTCAACAGCGAGGAGTGAGACAGGGCTGCTGCCTCAGCCCGACTTTATTTAACATATATATCAATGAACTGGCAGATCTACTGGACCAATCAAACAGTCCAGGACTACAATTATTCCACACAGAAGTCAAATATTTACTGTATGCAGACGACTTGCTAATTCTATCTAAAACACCAGAAGGTCTCCAGAACAACCTTGACATTTTAACTAAATACTGCCACGATTGGGCCTTAGACGTCAACATCCCAAAAACTAAGATTATGATATTTCAGAAAAAACCCAGAAATCTAGAACATAAACATATATTTACTTTAAACAACACCACACTTCAACATGCTTTACAATATAATTATCTTGGTCTGGTTTTAACTCCCACTGGAAATTATACACCAAATAATTATCTTTAAAAAAGCATCATATGACCCCTTTTTAATACACGCAAACGAACAGATATTAGCCTATAAAGTAACCATAGAAAACGTTCGCCTCTCTCTATAACGTCAACATCACAAGTAGCCCACTGTCATATTCAACACTTAGGCCTAACTATAGATTTAGCTTCACAACTGTTAACATAAAAGCAATGTTTGCGCATATGTTCATGTGGACAAAAAAAGGCACGCTTTTTTGGGAACGACAAATGTCCAGTCAGGCAGGGTTCAAGGGCAGCATTCAGGCTAAAATTTCACACATCTGCACCTGTCGCTCTCAACGTGTTCTCAATGGACGTCCCAGCTGAGATACACTGCTTGTTGTCTCTTCGTAGAACTGTAAGGCTATTTCTTAATCAGTTGTGTGTTGAAACGCTACAATAGTTTAACGAGGTATTTTGTGGGCGTACAGCTGTGACTCCGGTGAGGTCATTGTTTAAGATATTAAACATTAAGTTAAACAGGCAGTTTAGGTCTGTGGTTTGTTTCTGCAGCAGGGTGGTGTTCATCCGGCTCCTAACCACACTGCCATGAGAAGACAGTCTCATCTCCTCAGACATTATCGCTTCTGAGAGATGTCCGTGGGGGTCGAAGAGGGACGAAAGTCAGACTCAAAAAGAAGATGCGCGAGACTGTTTTGGCGTTTGTTTCCTCATGTTTTCCTCATTTTATCACTAATTTTATATGCGGTTTTAGGCGCGCAGATCTTTCAACACATTGAGAAGAAACCATTAAATGAGCCGGAGAACATCAGTGCGGTGGCGCGAAAAGTGGTGGAGACAGTGCAGAACCACACAGGTCTTACCTCGAGCTTATGTATGATTTATTATAACCTATAGGCTTTGTGTTGTTTCGCTGCGTTTAAATTATTCTATCATTTATTTTATGTGATACTCTAATGTACACTTGTAATGTAAATATTTATGTATTTTTAAATAACGTAGGCTATTTATGTTAGGCTTACGTTTTAATTAGCATTGTTCCCCGTTTCATTTTATTAATTAGATGTCTCAACACAGGAAG